TGAATTTTCTTGAATTACTAATAGATGGCCATCTAAAATGTAACTCTTTTTAGACCAGTTACAAAAGAAAAACGAAAAAAACACTCCATAAAACCATTGCCTATTTTCTAAAAACAGTCCATAAGAAATATAAATAAACAAAATTTTTCTCTTTTGTCCACAATGTGAAGATTTTCGACCTTGTCTTCAGATTTTTTTTTTCTACCTTTTGCTGTGTTTGTGAGTTAGTTGCATGTTCAACTCTATCTTGCTCTCTTGCCATCAAGATTCTTATTTGAATATTGTATAGTTTGAATTATATTAAACGTAAAATAATAATTATTAAATAGAAAGATTCTTAATTTTAAAGGCTCTTTTAATATAATGATAATATTTTACAATTTAAATTACAAAATATATTTTTATTTTTATTTTTCAAATTTTCGCTACCAAAAAATTCAATTTCTTACATTTCTCCAAAAATGAAACAGACTCCTCAACTCTTTTTACGAAAATAGTCTGGCTTCTACTTTAAAATATTTTTATGCCTTTTAACTACTATTTCTTGATCACTGTATAATAATAATAATAAACATTATCAATTCTTTTCCAGTTCTCCATATATTAATACAAAAAATATTGTGCAGTCTGTTAACTTTAAACATTTAATAAAAATTGATTTTTTTATTAAAAAAATTATTTTATTTAATAATTTTTATTTCATAATTTAATATAACTTAAACAATAAAAACAACTACTTATAATAATAAATACAGTAAGTTGTTTGTTGAAATTTTTGTAGATACCAAAGACGCGCGGCTCTGACTCGGTTCACCAATGTATCACAGCCTCTTATTTATTCCACTGGGCAGACTTTGTTTTCTACCATAGAAAATGTTAGTTTTCCACTGGTAATGTGGGCCAGTGAATGGAATATGCAATTTGTAAACTAGTTAATTAGATTGAGAGATGATACATAAAGTCTACATTGAATGAGATAGATGAAGAAATTAAAGCAGCAGAAAAAAACCGGAATAAGAAAATTTCCATTTGGTCCCCACGACTAAATTAAGACAGATCGGAATAACTAACAAAGATAAGTTAATTGTACTTCCACGTTAAGGCTCATAAGGAAAGCAAATCATGCAAAATACCCCTTAAACTTGATTATCAATGGCAGATTAACCCCTAAATCAAATTCAGAAGCATACCACCCCTTACACTCTTCAACAGTGACAAATGAGCCCTTGTCTGACGGTTGATGCATTGTTCCGTCAAAAAACTAATGGAGCCTTCATTTTGTGGGTTTTAGAGTTGGGCTGGCAATTGCATGGCAAGTGGGATCACTTCAAAATAAATAAAAAGGTAAAAGTATAATATACTTTCTAAATTAAATTACACATTATTCTAAATTTACAAAATGTACCACCTTAGTATTTTCTTTTTTATTAATTACTATTAGAATGTTCTTTGGCAGTTTCCACACACTTAAATA